TCCCTTAATAAAGCCTGTAATCCTGGTTTTTGGCTCCCGACTGGTCTCTCACCATGGAGCTTATATATATATGTTGGGGGAGACAACAAAAAATAAAGAATTCCAATATACAGTATGTTAGAGAGTGAATTGAATAAGAAGAAAAATAAAGCAAGGAAGGAAGTTAGGAAGTGTATGTGTGTGTGTGTTGACATTTTAAATATATATTTTATTGATTTTTTACAGACAGGAAGGGAGAGGGATAGAGAGTTCGAAACATCGATCAGCTACTTCTTGCACACTCGCTATTGGGGATGTGCCCGAAACCAAGGTACATGCCCTTGACCGGAATTGAACCTGGGACCTTTGAGTCTGCAGGCTGACGCTCTATCCACTGAGCCAAACCAGTCAGGGCTGTGTTGACATTTTAGAATAATCAGGAAAGATCTTACTGAGGAGACATTTGAATAAAGACCAGAAGGAAGTAAGGAGGGGAGACATTTGTCTATTTGGGGGAAAAACGGTATGGACAGAGGGGAGAGCAAATGCAAAGTTTCGGAGGCAGGATCAAATGTGACATGTCCAGTGAATATTGAGGAGGTCAATTGGGCTAATGCAGAGTCAGATCAGGTAGGATCTTTACAAAGCTTTTCAACATTCTCAACTGAAAATATGATACAGAAAATTTCCTGATTATTTTTTTTAAAATATATTTTTATTGCTTTCAGAGAGGAAGGGAGAGGGAGAGAAAGAAACATCAATGATGAGAATCATTGGTCAGCTGCCTCTTGCACGCCCTCTACTGGAGGTCGAGCAGGCAACCTGGGCATGTGCTCTTGACCTGAATCGAATCTGGGACCCTTCAGTCCGCAGGCTGACACTGTATCCACTGAGCCAAACCAACTAAGGCTAAATTAATTTTAAAAATCGGAATGTAATAGGAAGCCATTGGAAGGTTTTGAGCAGGGAAGTGACATGATGTGAACTACGTTTTAAATAATCATTTTGGCTGCTCTATTGAACATACATTATAGGGACGTAAAGTATGGAACAGAGAGACAATTAGACTATTGCAACAATATAGGTAATAAAATTGACTTTACAAGTGTGGTAGCAGTGGAGATAGTGGGAAGTAGTCAGGTTCTGACAAATTGAATGTGGGTACAACGAACGAGAAACAGAAGAGTCAGGATGACTACAAGGTTTTTGGTCTAAGGACCTGGAAGAATGGAATTGTCACTTACTGAGATAGCAAAGGCTATAAGGAGGGCACTCTGGAGGAGAGGGAATTAGAAGCATAGTTTTAGGCATTTAAGTTTGCTATGTCTAGTTGAAATCCAAATGGAGATGTCGAATGAGGAGGTGTGTCGATAGGATTCTGGAATCCAGGGCAAACTGGGTTGGAGTTGTAATTTGGGAGTTATCAGTGTATGAAATGCTAAGCTCTTTCATGTTCACTCTCGTTGTGGGAGCAGCCAAAGTCATTTAGTAAAGATTAAATGCCTCTCTGGTGTGAGGCATAATGCACAGGTTTTAGGCATGGGTGGTTGACAGAAAAGGGTGCCATTTATTCACAGAGACAAGGAACACAAGAGGTGCAGTACTGGGAGGAGGAGATTGGATCCCAGCCGGACGTGTTGCCTTTGCGGGGTCCGTGGAGGTAGCTCAGGAGACAGGTCCGGGCTGGAGGCTTGGCCTGTGGTTGGCCAAGGGCAGCCATAGGCGTGGCTGAGATAGCCAGGGGGAGCGTGAGTCTCTCCGCTGCGGGAACAGGGATGACACATCTTCCCACACCCACTGTTTTCTGTTTCCCCTTAAAGTGCCCGCTGGCCTCACACACACACACACAAAAAACGCCCTAAATCGACGGCTACCAAAAAATACCTTTTATTCCCTCTAGCTTCTCCCTTCTTCCCGGGACTTCCGGTAGAGGGAGGAGATAAAAAAAAATCCCACCCTACCCGGGGCGCGCCTGCAAGGGAATGACGTCACCGAAGAGGCGGGATATCCGGCGCCCCGCCCCCCCCCGCCCCCGGTAGCCGGGCTCCGGGGGACTG